CTCTTCAGCACTTTGGAGAGGTCCCTAACAGCAAACTTTCCCATGGCAATGTGCCTTTTAATTTCCTGGCTGCTGGTGCCAAGACTGTTGACTATGGAGCCAAGCAGACTAAAGCTGTGTATTGAATTATTTTACTAGCTTTTGTTATCTGAAAAACTTCCTCTCAGGTCGAGTCTTATTCTCTAACACCACAGACTAAACCAAAGCCATGGAAAATACAGACATAGGGGAAAACCAAACTATTTTAACGACTGGGGCAAATAAAAAAGAAATGTGAACCTCATACCTGAGAAACAAAGAGAATTACATGTATCAATGCAGAGAGAATCATCATAGATGCCAAGAGCTTAAATAAACCAACTTCTGTCAAATATTTAAAGAGACCAAAACTGTTTAATGAAGGCAAAGAACGGAGTGGAGAGGGGTAAGCCCAGACAAAGGGTGAATGACAAGAAGTGAGCAGGGAAATCCCACAGCTGTTTTTACAGACTGACGTTGAGACCAAAAGGGCAGACACAAACCTGTGTAGTAATGTGACCTATGAGGCAGTGACAAAAAGTCAGTTCTAAATCAGACACGACAGCTCAGATCCCCATGAGTCGGAAATTATTTAACCCAGACATTATCTAACCCCTTAGTTGCTTGGTGCCATGGTGTTCCTCACTCTCCATTAAAATGAAATGTGGGACGCATGCCACTGCTGGTGAGAGCGTTTCAGAACCCATTCATCCCTCAAGGTCAACGTTGCTGGTATACTTTTCGTCTGCATATTGTATTTCCTAATATGGAAAATAAACACGGCCAAAGAACAAACTAAAATGTAATGTATTTTTCAGGTCATCAGCACTTGTCACGTAAATGGATATTAAACTGCTGATTCACTTCACAGTATTTTAGAATGAGGTCTCTTCTGACCCCAGGCCATGGGTACTGCCCTTTATGGATCAAGAGTTACCAAATTGGCAGGTCTCAGTCCCTTCTCCTCACAACTTTACTATACTAAGTACATTCAATGTCTGGCAAAAATTTATTTTCATGACTAATGTTTCTTACCAAAAACAAAACACCAAAAACTTAAAATTACACAATATATTCTTATCAATTCATACAAGATCATTCAGCTCAGAATAACCTGCCCCCATTACCCCATTCCAAAGGTGATGTTCTATCTTAGATGGGTAAGGCCCCTACCTCTATACACTTACTACTACCTTCAATATGTTCAGGGGCGGGGGGAAATTCTATTTAAAATCAATTATTCTCCAACTGTTGCCTCCACACTAACTTTAAAATGTTTTTAAAATAATTTACAAAAGGAAAACATGAGGACCTTTTCAGAAAGCAGTTCGGCAATGTCGAACAAAGTTGATCAGAGAAACACTGCTTCCTGATTTAATATATTGACATTTGCATAACTATTTGCTCCTGTCAACATTATCTGTTGTTGTGTACCAGAGAGCCGGAACTGACCCACAGCTGACCTCTGGTGGGTTTTCAGAGGCAGTTGACCACTCAGGAGGAGATAGCCCATCCTTCTTCCACGGAGCTTTGTCATAGTAAAATGTGGTATAGAAAATGCTTTAAAGGTGTAGGTTTGAAAGAAACAAAATTATAAACAAGTAGCTAATAAGAAACAAGTTCTCTCTTATAAAATAGGGACCTGGGCCCAATGTTGATTTTCACCACCAAAGATTAAGGTTAAAATTCCTGTAAAAATGTCCTGATGTATGAGCAAGATTAAAGTAAGAGATAGAAGAGATAGTGTACTTGCACTGAGGAGCAGACATGTAAGTGGAGGGCAATGGCACAGAGGGGTAAAACATTTACACCAGGTTTTCTACATTCATTACAATGAAACCACTATATATTATTTGACGATATTTTCCATTTGACCGAAGAAATTTTTAATTTTTGTAACTGATAACAGTCACATTTTTTTTCAACAAAGAACATTAAAGAATGAAGCCGTTTTGATACCAGTAGCATGTTTAGCCAACAATTTAATGCCCTCTCATTAATCTCTGATAGCTAGTAATTTGAATAGAGACATGATGACTATATGCCAGTTATAAAAAGGGGAAATTCTGTGAAGCAACCCCAGCATCTAACATCTAAATGATCAACAGAATAAATTAATACTCTGGCAAGGATTTTTCCTGCAAAAGGAGAAGGTATATTTTCTATACATGGGGTGGGGTGGGGGGGGGAGGGGGGGTAATATATAGCCATTGTGTTATTTATGTAAAAAGATATACAGTTTGTGAGTCATGACTTATTTGTAGAGAAGTTAATGATAGAAGGTGCCCAATGGTTCGGTTCACAAACACCGTGCAGGTTCTGAATGAGATGTTCATCTGGGGCAGTATTTAGCTGTCAAGAGGGAGCAATTCAAAGGACATGACGCAGCCGATGAACCAGCTGGAAGGAGCCATCCAGACTTTGCCCTGGCGAACCCTCTCGGGGCGGTAATTAGAAACATCCTCATAGATGATGTACTGTGTGCAGAAGCGCTGGTCGGAATCCGGCCGGGCGTGGTAGGCCACTGTGTTGATGGTCTGCGTCACATCGCTGTCTGGCTTGGGCTTACGCAGGAGGATCTGGCCTCCGGCCGCAGTGACGAGCTTCATGAGGTCGTCCTTCGGGTGGTGCCTGAAAGGGCCCCCGAAGTAGAAGTAACACCCATCAAACAGCTTTGGCAACTGGAATAAACCAGGAAAAAGCCAGTGAACGCAGATCGAAATCTTTTAAAACACTGGACACAAATGATGAAAATGAAAATCGTAACAATCACAAGCAGCTAAGAAACTGTATCAAGAAAACTACTTATTCAATGAAGGGTTTTTCCAATTTACATTTTTCCCACTAAGATGCAGTCAACACCCCAGGAGCCCTTTCACTTTCTCAAGATCTCAGGCATGTTTTGTACAGAGGAAAACAAATAAATAGAAACTTTTTCTAAATTTTAAGATAATGATTTATACTTTAGGACTTAAAGTCCCAAGAATGCCTAGTATATCCAAAATATCCAGCAAGGGCACATATAGCTTATACTGAAGGGAATTACAAAGAGTAAACAGCTTTGCCACCGACTTGTATTTAATTCTGCCCACACATATTCAGGCCCCTGAAAGAACCTCAGTGGCAGTACAGGTATTACACTGCCAACCAGAAAGTCAGTGGTTCAAATCCATGAGCTACTCCAAGAAAAAAGATGGGCAGTCTCCTCCTATAAAGATTTACAATCTTCAAAACAGAGAGTTGCTATGAGTCAGAATCAAGTCCTTGGCAATGGATTTGGTTCTTGGGTTAATATACAATATGACCAACTAAAAGTCCCAGGACAGTCATGAGGGAGACGACACTAAGGCCTCAGGGGTCAAGAAATACAGTGCGTTAGTTATGAAGCCATTAACAAGGCTCTCCCAGCTAAAACATATAATCTTAGTTATATATATGTATTCTTAGTTAAGAAATATATACACACAAAAGAAAATTGTGGAAAGACAAACTTTCACAATTTCTGCAAATATTTTCATTGTTTCCAAAAGACTCATGTATCAATGAGATAACAGAATAGTATCTATTCAAGCTGGGATGTGGCAATAAAGATACATAGTAACTAAATCAGAGCAGAAGCAGCTACCTGTCTTCTCTCAAGCTACTTCCTGCCCGTAGCTTGACTCACCTCAGATTCTGAAAGGTTTATGGGCATGTTCAAGATGCCAAAACTCCATTAAGAGTCAGAAATTATTGCCTTCTGGGTTTTACTGCTCATTGTGATCATCCTTCAGAATCAAGTGCTTGAAATAAGCACAATTTAAATTTTCATCAGTCACCTGAACTGAGAAAGGGCAGGAGCAGCCTTTCCTGACAGTGAGGACAGAATTAAGACGTAACAGAAACAAGGAAAGTGTTATCAAAAGAGAAATACCAGCTGTTCTCTGTTGAGTCTGCTTCTCTGAGGCCCTTCCGGGATTTCATACTTTTCTTCCTGCTCACATAGTTTTCTTTGGAGACATGCATTCACCCCTGACCAGGGGGAAAAAAAAGTTAAAAGCAAAATAAAGATCAATTAAGTGAGTGTTATTCATTTACTATTCAATGACACAATTCACTTATGTGTTTTAAATAGAATTATCTTTTCTCCTTTCTCTTTAGAAATAGAAATTGATACCTTATCTAAGCAAAAGCAAAGACACAAACATCTAAACCAATTCATTCTTTCAAACACAACATCAGGAATATACATTTTCACTTTCAGCAATTATCAGAATCAAAGTCTATCAAGTGCAGCACGAGCCACGGTGACCTGAGCATGGACTCTGCCCTCCTCATTTCGGCGGTCACATGTCAATCACAACATACCACTGAGCTTGGCTGGCCTCACAACTGGGAGTTGGCTGGACTTGTTCAAATGAGAAGCAAGCACCACCTTGAGGACATGTTTTGCTATTTGAGAGATACACAATGATGCCACAAACCTAGAGGTAAGTAGGCTGGGTCTTGCGGGTGAAATGGCATTTTTTTCTCATGGCTTAGAGAGGTGTCCACAGTTTCAGGTTCAGAAGTACCAGAGAGCTGGCACCGTGGGAAGTCACTGCATTAACTGGCTCTTGGGCTGGGAACCCCTCTCTCAGCAAGTCATTTGTTACCAGCTGTCATCAACTGTCTGGCAAAGAATATCAGGGGTGGTTAATAGATGGGAGAACATAGTTAGCTTAATCTAGAAGTCTTGGAATACTTCCTGACATCATCAAGGAAGGGAATTTTCTTTAAAATACACTTTTATACTAGTCGGGTTACAAAGATAATACACATTGTTTTCCACACCCGATCTTTCCCATTTCCTTTATTCACCCCTCCACCTACCCATCAGATTGAGACCCTATGATTTACACCCCATGCCCATTCTCAACTCTCTGCTCCTACCCTCCCTCCCCCGTGGATGGTCATACTTGTTTTATTACAATAAAGGTCTTATACAGTATTTGTCTTTATGGGACTGAGTTAGTTCACTTAGCATAATGCTCTCCAGTCCCTCCCAAGTTAGGTAATAATTTACACAATCATTGCTCTTGCGTGCTGCACAGTGTTCCACTGTGTGAATGTACCATGATTTCTCAATGCATCTGACTGTGGTTGGACTTTTGGGCTGTTTCCGTGATCTTGCAATGGTGCATAATGCTGCTATGAATGCTGGTATACAAATCTCCATTTGTATCTCATTCCCAATTTTCTCGGGGTATATTCCAAGCAGTGGAAGAGCTGTGCCATATGGAATTTCTATGTTCAGCTTTTTGAGGAAATGTGAGACTGTCTTTCAGAGTGAATGAACTATTTTACAATCCCACCAACAGTGTGTAAAACACAAAGGCAAAATTAACAGTGGCAGAATGGCTAAAAGCTTCACTACTAACTGAAAGGTTGATGGTTCAAACCCCACAGTAATTCACAGTAACTCTGTGAGACAAAGACCTATAGATCTGTTTTCTGCAGCCTAGAAAATCTTATGGGGCAGTCCTCTATCACATGAGGTGGCTAGGAGTTGAAAATCGATTTGATGGCACGCACTAACATATGCATATATAGATCTATATGCTCACACACTGCTGTAAATTTTGACACCCAAGGAAGAAGGATGAGAGAAAACTGATGCCTTTGAGTTGTGGTGTTGGAGAAGAGTACTGAATAGCCTATGGACTGCCAAAAGATCGAACAGGTCTGTGCAGCCAGAGTGCTCTGTGGAGGCACGACTTCATCTCTCATCCTTCAGATACGTTACTAGGAGAGGCTATTCCTTGGAAAAGAATATCACGGCTGGAAAGGGTGGAGGGTCAATGAAAGAGAAGACAATCTCCACTGGGATGGATTGACACGGTGAATGCAGCAATGGGCTCAAGTGCATTAGGGATGATGAGAATGGTACAAGATAGGATGTTCATAGGGTCATACAGGACCTGACGGCACCTGAACAACAGCATGTTTCTATAACTACAAATCTTTACAGGACTGCTCATTTATGCTAGAGAATTTGAAATCTATGCTGGAAATCTATGGTTTAGCAGCAGTTGCCTGTGATAAAATTCTACCCAGCTGATCTCTACACGATTGAACAATGGAAGGCGACTAAAGCAGAAAAGTCACCAGAATCATCACTAGACCCGGGACCCACACATGCGTCTAGGAGCTGCTTTCTGAAAGCTACACTCAAGCCAAAGGTCACGTGCTACGTGTACCAGAATTATCCCTGAACTGCATTTTAAATAATAGCAGATTCTTTTCCCAAGAGATAATTTTTTACCTAGAAAAATCCTCTCATAACCTATAATCCCTTTTCTTTTGACACAAAAGTATGGAACATTTCACGAATTTGTCATCCTTGTGCAGGGGTCATACTAATCTTCTCTGTATCATTTCAATTTTAGTATATGTGCTTCTGAAGCGAGCACTAAAGATTATCTTTAACACTCAATACTGGATGACACAAACATGGAAGACCTTCCAAGAGTTTCTATCTAACAGTTCACTCTAATTTGGATTTTAAGAAGTCGTTTGGAAAAAAAAATCCGCCCTTGATTCTTCAAACCTACATAATTAAAGAGGGAGTGAGTGTGTATGTATGTATCTACCTATGAGTCAATTCACAGAACCGAAAGGAAGGCGGAGAAATTGAAATAGCAACTTTTATGACAAAAAATGGTTTTAGTCTACATTTATCTATCTTATTTCACAGCAATCCTGCAACATTGGGGTTCTGGAAGCATTTATTGTTGTTATTGTTAGGTGCCATTAAGTCAAGTACAACTCATAGTTACCCTATGAACAGTGTATCTGAATCCTTTCCTATCCTGTGCCATCCTCACTTCCTGACACATTACAGCATATTGTGGCAATCCCCATGTTAGTCCACCTGGTCGAGTGACTTCCTTTCCTTCCCTGACCCTCCTTCCTTCCCAGCATCTTATCTCTGTCCAGGGATCAGCCCCTTCTAGCAACATGCCTAAAGTATGTGAGGCAAGGCCTCGTCACCCTTGCCTCCAAAGAGCACTCTGGTTGCACCCTCTCCAAGACATACTTATTTGTTCTTTGGGCCATCCAAGGGTTCAGTACTTTTCTCCAATACCACAACTAAAAGGCATCAATTCTTCTCAGCTATCAGATGGATAGCAAGTGTTCAGAAAGACCGTGGTCTAAATCAGATGCACATTAGTCCTCAAACTGACATCAGAACTCAATAATTTGGAGAAGTTCCTAACTGCAGACTTTGCTAGTATAATCTCCTTATTATTAGTGTTGTTATTGTTGTTGCTGATTGCAGTCAAGTTGAGCATGACTCATAGTGACCCTATGAACAAGACCAGAAGCCTTTCTGTAACTATCATCATTTCTCAAAGTTCATAGAGTTTGCAGAGGCATGTTGTTTAGGAACTGGAAGCCACTCCTGCTTCCAAAATTATTAGTGTAGTCTCCTTATTTCTACTAAGAGTGCTAATTGTGGATCAAAGTAAGATGAAGTTGTTGACAGTTTCAATCTCTTCTCCATCTACCACGATATTACCTGTTAGACTAGTAGTAAGAATCTGTTTTTCTGACACTGACATGCAATCCATACCGAAGGCTGCATTCCTTAATCCTATGCAACAAGTTCTTCAAATCCTCATTTTCAGCAAGCAAGATTGTGTCATCTGCATTGTGCAGGTTATTGATGAATATCCCTCCCATTTGATGCCTACTCCTCTTCGTAGAGTCCCGCTTCTCGAATAATCTGCTCAGCATACAGATTAAATCAGTATGGAGACAGAATACAACCCTGACACATTCCCATCTTAATTTTAAACCATGTAGTAGTCTCCTGCTCTGTTCACACAACAGCCTCTTGGTCCAGCTATAAGTTTCACATGAACACAGACAAGTTCTCTGGGACTCCTACTCTTCTCAATGTCAGCCACAACTTGTTATGATCCACACAGTGAAATGCTTTTGCAAAGTTAATAAAGCACCAATAGACATCCTTCTGGTATTCTCTACTTTCAGCCAGAATCTATCTGACCTCAGCAATTATATCCCTGGTGTCATAGCTTCTTCCAGATCCTGTTTGGACTTCTGGCAGTTCCCTTTCTATGTACTGGTCTTGTTATTTCTGAATGATCTTCAGTAGTATTTTGTCGGCACGTGATACTGTTTGATAGTTTCCAGGTGCAGTTGGAAACTGTGGAAGGTGCAGTTGGAAACTGTGGAAGCATTTAGATAGAGCCAGAGAATTTAACAAGTAAAACACCACCACCACCACCATTAAAGATCTGGTTCCACTTGTTTTATAGATTTTTAAAAATCAAGTACAGAAACAGAAAGTACCTTGCTCTGAACCACTTCCGACCACACTGATCTTCTACCTCAGTGCTCTTTCCCCCTACTATCTATTACCTATAAATAGAGTGAGAGCCTCTGACCTTGAGAACTGAAGCTCTACTCATTTTTGTGTTCCTCTTGTTTCTTGCCCTCCTCATTTCAAAATCTAAACTTACACTGTTTTTAAGTAACACCCAACACGGTTTTCTTGGCTGTAACCTGTATAAAAGCAGTTCTCCAGACCTGTTCTTCCAAGAAGGCACTAGGGAGATCTGAACCACTAACCTTTGGGTTAGCAACTGATTGTAAAACCAACTGAGTCAGGTGGGCATCTTCATTAAAATCAGGTTCTTTTCTCTCACTAGGAAGGGTCTGATTTGTGATGAATTTTTATTGTTTTATTTTTCTCTGCCAATAAACACTTAATCCATTATGAAATGCACTTATAATTACACCCATATTTTAAGAAATGAGGTGTCAATTAAATAATCCCAATTCATGTCATAGAATAAGTGAGGGGAGGAAAATCCTCACTCGTGTCCAAAAATTTAGGACTCTGAACTTGCTAGAGTCAAAGAAAGAACCCCTGTCCAGCACTATCGACAATGAAGAAGATTCATGCTTTTCAGATGCACATTTCTCCTCTTTTAAGTTAGAATGACTGGACTTTTGAAGAATAA